ACATATATATATATATATATATAAACATATATATATATACATAAACATATATATACATATACATATATATATACATATATACTTGTACATTATATATATATATATTATGTATGTATGTATGTATGTATGTATGTATGTATGTATGTATGTATGTATGTATGTATGTATGTATGTATGTATGTATGTATTTATGCATGTATTTATGTTTGTATAGTACGATGAACTGTTGTTTGTACTTCGGTAAATCACTTCTGCAAGCACCTGATCCGTTTGATATCCATACATACAGATGGCTCCATTATATTCGATCGCAACGCCAATCTGTACGGTTCGCGGGATGGGCTGACAGGACGGAAAAGCCCTAAGATGTCACGCGATCGTATTGGCACGCCCACTCCAAGTGGTGACGAGATTGTCAGCTTGGAAGAGGCCAATAAAAGGGGCTCGAAGAGTAGTGACGACTTCGTATTCGCAGACAAAAGTATGTGAAAGTAGTAGATTAAAAGAATGCAAACGCACAGTCACAATATGTATTTAATTTATTCTTTTTACACGTGCACACACGAACATACACTCAGCTATGGATTCATTAACTATGTATTCATATGTATATATCTTGTATACGTATCCATGGCGTTGATAATTTCGTTCGCCACCATACACATTTACGCATGTACACATACAAACGACTCTAAAAGTAAAGGAGCGTACAAGTGTTTTTGTACACGTGGCTATCCATGCCTTCGCTCACCCACCACTCAATTGTTCTTCGCACCCTAGTTGTAACGTCCGTAGTTTGGGGGCCCACAGCCCGTGAGGAAAATGCCACAGATGCGCACGTGGACGCCCTCACCATGCTGAAGCACGAGTCCACTCCCCTGCCATCTTCTGCGAATTCCACACCAAGCAGTCCCGTACGTTTTGGAAAGAATGACGGGACCAATAGCGGGACCAATAGCGGCTCGCACAGCAGTAGCAAGAGCTCTCTGGGCCAGAAGATACGCAAATTCGTTAGGGATCGCAAGGGACCTAGTCGCGCTAGTGTTGATGCGAGTGTCAATGCGAATGTCAATGGCACCGGCGTGGTGAAGATCAATGGGTGTACTAGTTTCAGCAACTCGGTATTGGTTGGTAGTAACACGAGTAACCAGCTCACGGGTGGTGTGGAGGAGAACGAGAACGGCCAACACAGTAGCAGTGTTGCGGATTTTACAGCAGAGTTCATGCGAGAGTTAGCCACAGCGCGTGGCAGTGCTAGTAGTGCGCAACAACCGGCGGGCAAGAGCGAGAAGAAGAAAGAAAAGAAAAAGTCCAAGAAGGCGAAGGCCACATCAGACATCAAGGGGGAGAAATGCGACACCAAACAGGAGAAATGCAACAACAAACCCTTGAGATCAGACTATACATTCGACAAATACGATCGATACAACAATCCTAGTAATGGGGCCACAAAGTCCCGAGCCGCGGGCAGTAGCGAAGTAGTCAACGCTCGTGGACCACGTTTAGTGGTGGCCCAGGCGGATACTAAACAAACACGAGGAGTTGAGAGAGTCACAGAAACGAATCAAAAGCGCGTGTCTGGCATGTCTATGAAGGCATGTATATCCAAGCACGGATCGCTATCCTCAGCCATTCAGGAAATTGGGTAGGTTATATATGTAAGTATATTTATCTGTATGCACATAAGTAGTTATTCGTAGATAATTTGAATACCTAGAAATGAGATTATACGAAATACGTGT